TTCCTGCTGTGTAAACAGAAATTCTCCACTGTTTTGGGGCACCTGCAGTTACATAACAAATTTAAGGCAAGACTATATAACACTTATTATTTGTATTGCGATATGGTCCTAATGGCTCTACCTGAAATTAGGAACCCATTGTACCAGCTGTTACAAAATACACATCATAAGACAATTCCTACCCCAAAGACTGTATAAGTCTAACAGGTAACAGACAAAACCAGGAAGTGTAGATGGGTGCAACAATTTGCCCAGGGTCACACAGCTGATGAAAAGCAGAGCTGGAGAGTGGAGGGAGGAAAGCCTATTTCCCAAGTTCTAGTCCAGTGCCTTAACCACCAGGGATGTAATAGTGTAGTCCAGTAAACCCATTCACAAGCTTGCGGAGGACCGGTAACATTTATTTGCATATTTGGATTTTCATTAAGCAAATGATGAATATGCAAATAAATTGTGTCACTGGCCCTACCTGTCCAGCAGGTTGTTCTGCCCCCCCTCCTGGCCCCAATCCTGTCCGCTTTATCAGCCGGCGCAGGGTGTTCTGTGTCAGTGTGCACAGCACCCAGACTTTTCCCTGGATCTTATGCCCGCCAGATGTAGCCATGCCTAGTAGAGACACCGCCATGGCGGGCTCTTTCCCAAGAGGGCTGTGCTCAGCAGAGCAGGGTGCTGCTACCCCGTCACACAAGTTAATAGGATCATGTGCAGTAATTTTTCTAAGGACTGGTAGTGGGCCGCGGAACAAACTTTGGTAAGCGCTGGTGTAGTCGATTAACTGATTAGGCAATAAGCAAAAACTTATAGGTTAGTGCTATAGATGACATGCATTTCACATCCCCCTCCTTCAGTAAATATTTTAGCAGGCTGGCCAGCAGCCCGGCTCAGTCCTGGCTTGTGATGGGTCCAGGACCTACCCCTGCTGTGGCTCTGCATTTAAAGTGTATTAGGAGCCAGGCAGGCAGGCAGCCCGGTTCAATTCTGGCTCACTCCAGGTCCAGGAACTCAGACTGTCCCCTAGACTGGGGCTGATGCCACCCTGTGCTGCTGCCTCTTTATCAAAGGCAGCACTATGGGGCAACAGCAGCTGGTCTGCGAGGGAAGCTGGTTTTTAAATTCCCTCCCCTCGTGGATCAGCTCCCACCTGGCATCCTGTGCTGCTGCTTCTGATACAGAGGCAGCAGCATGGAGTGGCAAAGGGCTCCTTAGGAGTTAGGCTGGAGAGCACTGGCTGCCGGCCTTGCCCTTGAAGGACTATAGAATAGTCAACTGACTGATAAGAATTAATGAGGTTACTCGACTATTAAAATTAACCAATATTTAACATCTCTATTAACCACTACACAGCATTTCCTCCCAATGTTCCATTTACATACTATATATAAAATTACAAAATGTTAAACTTGAACCAACGTTCGTAACAGCCGTAGCAGACAACTCAGAAGCAAAACAATAAATTAGCATCCCTTTACCAAAGTCATTTTCTCAAACCATTGCTTGCAGTGTGAGTAAGTATATCAAGGAACATGTTCAATACTATCTAATGCAAGTTAGACATTTGAAGACGTGCTCTACTGTTAAAAGAAATATCTTGCTCAGCACAGAGCCACATAGTTACTATTCCTTTAACACTGAAACTGCTGACTGGATCACAGATGGGCTAAACTGCACATTACTGTTAAAAGAATAAATTCAAGAGATGACGTTGAAAGATTTTTTGACCCAGACCTAATTGTTATCAAGGACGGTAGAGAAGGAACTGAGGAGCCGCGCCGCGCACACGCCTAATGGATTCCAAAGGCATGAGGGGGTGTTGCGGCGCCTGCACAGCAGAAACTGCTAGAAAAAGTCTCCAGTTGCCGGCGCAAGGATGCACCAGCACCCAGAGTGGAGCACCCACAGGGACCACTCGAAGGAGAACACTGCCCTCCCTGCTTCATTTGCTCACA